ATCAGTACTGTATCTCAGTTAAAATAAAAGCTGGATGTTTCTATGTGTGTAGCAAAAATATTAGGAAACAAGTGTGTAGAATACCATAGAGGAATACTAAGTATAGAACCTTGGGTTGGCTGGCTAAGCAGTTTCCTCTTTATCATTATGGTGTCATTGACAAATATATCTTTTTCTTTTCTTTTCTTTTTTCTGTCATCTGAATTTTTGCCTGTGCACTGAATTTGAATTTGCAGTTAGAGAAAGCCCGAGTATGTTAGCAAGTGGTATCAGATCACTTAACCATGTTGATAATTGATACCATGTTGATTCAATCCCACCTGATCAACATTGTTACTCAAGTATGATCTAAATCATGGCAGATTTCACACTTGGGACTGTTGCTTGTGTGGGGTGCAGGCAAAGTGGCATGACACCAGCTGGCAACAGGTATCCACATTGCTGAGATTAAGTTTAGGATGGATGGACCTAATAGAGCTTAATATCCTATCTTTTTCCCTAATCTTAAGTGTTTTATAGATATTGAGTAGTCTACTGTAAATACCCCAACCCCTGGACTCCAGAGATTGCTACTTTGTTCTAGTGCCTGAACCTCAAAAGTTTTCCCAGTATTTATCTTCAGTCACTTATACACTGGGCAGATGAATTCTAGTTGCACATGAATCTGATGGACTCATGGTGATGTTCTGCATGACTCACATAATACTGATTTTGTGCAGATATGTGAAAATTGATCTGCTCTTTTCTCTTGGATTAAAATGAAACTATTGATACATTCTTCAGAAATTCATTTTCAACATTTTATTCCTGTTGTTGAGTCTGAATTCATTTATTCAGTATTTCTGCCTCACCAGTTATGCCTAATTTTCTGTTTGGATGTCCGATTTTTCTATGCATCTATAATAGTTCATACATGCTTTAATTTTTTAAAACATTTCTGTAGTTTTTCAAGGTTATTTTGAACTCTTACCATAGTCTTAAGTGCTTGCAGACCCCTCTGCATGTTATCATGTAGAAGTTTTGCAAGTTAACTTCTTTCATTGTCTGTGTCAAAATAGAACACATAGAAGTGGCCTGTATCTAGGACATGTTGTGATCTGGCAGAGGAATATTAGTCAATAGTTTATAAGGAAGTTTATACGTTTTTATAATTTTAAAGTTTTATAAGTAAGTTTATGCTAATGTCATCTAAGCTCTGCTCATCTGTTGTAACGATGCCATATTGAGCAACGTCAAAAGGCCTATTTGAGATAAGATAGATGTACTACTTTCCTTATATTTACAGGGCCAGTTAACTCATCGAAGAAGAAAACTGCACTATGCTGATGGATTTGGGATGATGCTCTGTATTGCAAATGTAATACTGATTTAGTAATTTATTTTGTTATCAAACTGAGTAACTGAAATTTCTAAGATTCACCTTTTAACCGTCTTACTAACAGAGATTTGGTGTGTCTCCAAAGCCTTTGCCTTGAATGAACTCCTGGCAATAATCACAAGCAGTTACCAGGTTTGCCCAGGCTAGTTCCTTTGAGGCACTCTGAGATATATTTTATTTGGGTCTACTGGTTTGAATATACTAAATTTACCAACAGTCTTCTTGTTGATTCTTTGTGTTTTCTGGACCATATTCATGCAATATATTTATTGTCTTGCTTCTGAGAATCCCAATGTTTATTTAAAGAGAGAGGAAGTCCCTGGTATACAAGTTCATAGGAGGAAAGCCTCCCCAGTATCCAATGAGCGGTATAAGAAATGATGCAGTGCCTCTGCAGCTGTGAGCAGCCTGCAGCCCTTGTTGGAGGGCACACAAACCACTCTGTTGAACTTTCAGTTTAAAATAAAAGTAAGTATTTGGCTGCTGCTGTTGAGGGAACGATGTCAAATACAGTCACTTAAACATTTTTGTGAGCCTACAAAGACACTGGACATAAAGTGGACCTGCTGTATCTGTGTAGGCAGGACAGTGGCTGAGAAGCAGTGTGTAGCATCCAAAGGCTGGGGAGCAGCAGGACATGGCGTGCCCTCCTGAGCACTGCCAGAGCAGTTTGTTTCACACAGCTTCTTCCAGCCTTAGAGGAGTGGGGAGAAGAAAAACTTGGGTGGAAAATAACTCTTGGAAATTTTATTAAAAGTGTTTGTTTTCCACTAAGTAGTTGAGCATTTTAGTTTTGCTCTCTGAGGGGAGGAAGATTTTCTGTCCTCTCTTTCAATGGAAAACCTGTTAAATTTAGATTATTTTTTAACAAAAGTGAATTTTAATTTGTTTTCCTTTATGACTGATGAAAAACTTGAGCAAAGAGTGACACTTGACCAGCTGACTTCACTAGGCTCACAAATTTGGGTTGTTCCTCCTCTCACTTGCTCTCCTGCCTGCTGCTCTTGTGGGAGAGGCACAGCTGGCCCATACCATGTTGAGCTTGCACAAGATGGTGCCCAGGCCAAGGGCATGGCCAGCATTGTGAGCTCTGCTTTCTATCAGTCACAGCAAGGTACAGAGTGGGATTTTCTCTGACTGTTAGAGGAAATTCAGAGAAGGAAACTGCTGCGAAATGAGAGTGTAACAGAGTAGACCTTGGCCTGCTCTTTCTTTCCAGTCTCTTTTGCGGAGACATTGCAATCATAGATAGTTGTGGGTTCAGGAGTTTATGGGTTTTGTATTTCCTGAATTATCTTAGGAAACATGATTTCCATAATTAGCATAATGTCAGTTCAGAGTACTGACCAGACCTGTGGCTAGTTTGTCTCAGTATTTATAACTGCACTTTTAAAAATGAACTAAGCATACAAGCATATGATGCAGGTTTCTTTAGTGTTGTGTGCTTGCTGATGAACGGCCATATCTGCTTTTGTTCCTGACTGGCTTCAAAATGAGTAGTTTGATGATAACGTGCTTTTTCAAGAAAGAAAATGGGAGGGCCCTTTCTTTCTGATCATGTGGTGGATGGTGCCTGAAGGAAATTAAATAATGTTTACACGTTAATGGCACATTGCCTTCAGGAACTTTCAACAGGGCTTTCATTAATTTAAATGAATTTTTCTGTTTCCTACCGATCCCTTCTCTAGCATGTACCTGTCAGTGAGCTGTGGTAGCACTGGGATTCAGAAAGGGGATACTTAAGTGTGGAAATATCCCCTGGATCTCGTAGCAACCCATCATTTTTTGCCTCCTCTTGTTGATCTTTAATGAAACACAAAATATCTAGTTGTTATCTTATTGTTCTTTTCTATATATTTTGTTTGTTCTAATCTTTATCTTGATGCAAGTTCAAACCCAACTTCATAATGAAAATATTAAGAACTGTTGTATGTAAAGGATTAAAGTTTGATCTGCCAAGTTAGATGTTTTTTGATTTATCAAAAATATTTACAGCTTTCCTCCCAAATTATTTTCTCTTTCCTGTAGTCAACTTAGTCAATTTTAATTATAAGGAGAAACAAGAGCTAAAATACAGATATGATTGTGTGTTGCTGGTAGTAGTGCTGTGTAGTACTGATAATTCCAAATTCTCTTTTAACTCCCCTGAAGTCCCCTACTGCTCAGATTTGAGACTGGGAAAGTAGAAGAAATTAGGGAAGCATCCCTCCTGCTTAGTAAATTCAGATGAATTTGTGATTTCTAAATTAGTTGGAAAAGCAACAACAAAAATCTACCCAGGAATAATATCTATGATACTTCTTTCTTGAGAAAGAAATCTGATTCTTTACTGTTAACTGTGGAAAGTGGATACTGGAAAAAAATTTCCAAATAATAAGCTTCATGTTATGGTGTTCAGAATGTAGGCCAGAAAGGTGAATTCATTCATAATCTCTAGGTTGTCGTATATCTTGATTCCTTACTCTGTTCTGTGTCATTGCATCTTTGGGGAGTCAGTGCTGGACACGGTTTATTGCACTGTCACTGATTTAGAAAGAATTTTTCAAGTGGAGACGGGTGGGAAAAGGGTATTTTCTTGTATTCTAAGCTATTTAGGGCTGGAACTTTCTTTTACTTCACTCAGAGACATTGTGTTTTGTTTCTTGTGGAGTTCTTTGACCACTGTTTCAATTCAAAGTTTTGAAAGAATATGTTAAGAATAATCAGTTTTCTTTATGCCTCTGAGTCTGAAGTCATCCTGTGCAACTCAAAGGCAATTAAAAGATCTGCTGTGTACAACTGTAGCATAGCTTGCCAGAACGACCACAGTATTGTGTTTATACTATGCAGATTTTTATGAGGATACATTCTTGGCTGATAGTTGAGTTGCTGGCCTGGAGAAACTGTTGACTACTTTCCATCCTTAACCCTGGTCAGTCATTTGCCTAGTTGGGCTAGTCCTGCAAGAAATTTAGATTCCTTCTAGTTAAGTTCCTTTTTACTAGGAGAAATTAAAAAAAAAAAAAAGAAAGAAACACCAAGCCCTTCTTTCTATATTTGATGTGTCTGGCAAATAGTCACAGGCCTATTTATTCTAAAAGCCATAGTAAATGTGTTTTGCAATACAGTATTGTTGAAATGCAGCAACTGTGACACTGATCACAGTAGAGGAGGAGGGCATTTTAACCTAAAAGCCATATTCAGTGCTCTTAAGAGTAGGGCCAGGAACTGTGACCCAGGGACAGAGATATAGGAGATTGCTTATCCTCAGTTCTCAAGTACAGTGAAGTGTATTCTGTATAATCTTCTCATTTGGTCTTTTTTTAATTAATTTTTTTTTTTTTTTTTTTTTTTTTTTTTTTTTTTTTTTTTTTTTTTCTGGAAAATCTTTGTCCCTCCAACTTTAAATGATCTGTGAGGCTTTTCTTCTGGCATGTGTTTAAATAACGAGATCACCAGAAGAGATCCATGTGTTCACTTTGCTGTGCTTGCTGTGTTAACTACAGACTCATATCATATTTGTACTGTGGATATTGCAACAGCAGATTCAGTTGTCTAACGTTACTGCTGATAAGCAGGTTAATGCAACTTTGAAAGAGGCTTGAGTAACCCCTAATGAAGCTTTCTTTATTTCCCTCTGCAGGTGGTGAGTCGAGTGGCAGCTCAGCAAGGATTTGACTTGGATCTTGGATACAGGCTACTGGCAGTATGTGCAGCCAACAGGGACAAATTCACTCCAAAATCAGCGGGTAGGAAACGTCTTTTTTGGTATATCCATGATTTTTGAATGATCATACTCTGAATAACTACTGCTTACTACTGAATTGGTTCTTTAAAAACAAAAGACAACTAAGTATACCGTGGCAACAGTGCTGCAGATCTTGGCATTTTAATAGCATGCTCTTCTGAAAACAAATGATGAAGGCAGCATGCATGTTTCCCAAGCAGTGCTGTTTGTTGTCCTGTTTGACTTTATAGATGAAGCGTTACTTTCAGAAACACTGATGCTCAGTAATCTCAGGGAGGGAATGAGCACTCTCAGACCCCTCCATCTTGATAAACCATTGATTTTATGTCATATGTCAACCTCTCTTACATCTTTCACGTTCAATCTGTAGTTTCAGATACAGCTGTTGCCAGGCTCTCATTTCTGGACTGCATATGTCTGTGCAAAGCAGTAGCACAGTTTCTTGTAGGTCTACTCATTCGTTTTTGAATTTTGAGGCAAGAAGAAGTGGGAATGACATAACAATAATACCAAGTTGTTATTTTTTTCTGGTATTTTATGTAAATAATCTGTTATGGGTCTCTGATAAAGTAACAATATTTGATTATGATTTATCGCTTTTGCTCTTCTGTATAGTAAAAGCATAAAATGCTCTTTAAGATCTTTCTGCTTCTCACATTGTGTTCTATTTATGTGGAGCATTCAATTTTGATTTTCTTTTTTGTAGCTGATGAATCCCAATATAATGTGTACTGGCTTGAAAAAGAGGCAGATAAATGCTCTGTTCCAGAGCGTAGATAACTTTTCTGGTTAGCAACTGATACACAGTCACAGTGTAAGAACATCAGAAAAGATTACCTTTTTCCAAAGCAGTAATGTGCAGTCAGCTAATTGGGTATTAGTAGCATTTATTTTCATGTTCCTTACCAGTTTTTATCGACCCCGAACTTCTTTCTCTCATAATTGTTCTTCAGTCCTTAGAGCTCTAAGGAGTTCCTCACGAAAAAGCAGCTTTCATATCATAGCATGTTAATTGGACTCTCTGATTAATCCTTTGTATGGGAATGGATTATTAATTTTACTAAATGTCCCATGAACTGTCTAATTTTCTTCCAGGAAAACTTTGTGGAAGATGAAACATTTAGTTAACCAGGCACAATCTCCTTTTTTCTGAATTCATAGCAAGCTTCTCCAACTGTTAGCTGTCACTTCTCTGTGGGTTTTTTTAAGGCTTGTGTGAGGATTTCATGCTAGGAGTGCATTAACCAAGACTTTTGATTCCTGGTAAAAGTATTCATACTCTCTCTCAGCAGTTCTTCCTGAGGTGTGTCTCTATCAATGTGTTAGTGGAGGTGAAGTTGTCAGTCTTGGGGTTTTTTTTCATGTTACAGTCCTTTGTCTTTCTAACAGGTATCAGAGGATGGTCTTGAAAGCCACTGTCAGTCATAGAAAAACCCAGCTTCTGTGTTTCATTTCCACAATTAGTTATTTTTTTGGAGTATCCTTTTCTGTTCCCCCGTTCTCACTACCCCAATCCATACAGATTTCAGTCTTTCCATTGTTAATTGATGCAACACAGGGAAAGTTGATAATGAATTCATGAGCTCTTCCCCCAGTGTACTGTAAAAAAAAATGCTTTTCAGTCTTTTTTTTTTTTTTTTTTTTTTTTTTTTTTGCTTCCTACTTCCCAGACACATACATAACTAATATATTACCAGTGATCTTAAATAGTTGGTTTCACAACTACTTTAGTTTTACCATGTATTTAGTTGTTTCACCTGTTGTTCCTGGGATTTCAGCATGCCCAACCACATTGCATTTTTATTGCTCTTTTTGCCTGTATTAAGTATTCATAACTCAGAGCATGCCATAATATATTTTGTGAAATATCAAATACAGTCCCTACTCTTAATTGTGTTAAGTTCATATATGACTTGCAAGAGCTACTTATATGGGCTGCTTGAAAGACTGACAGGTGAGGATTATAGATATGAAATTGTTTGAAACTATCCCAATTTTTCTTCTTCAACATTTGAACATGTTTTCTGATTTCTGAAGTAACAGTGGTTCTGCTCCATCATTCAGTTATTGTAAAAATGTTGAGATTGTCTCTTGCTTATTATTGTTGTTTTTTTTAATAATGAACATCATTGAAAGTGGCATTTTATGATTTGCTTAAGTTGATAAGGATTCTTGCATGCTGTTTTGAGTAACTCATTCTTTTTGCTTTTAAGTCACATCTTTATTTTTAAGACACCTTCAACACTTCTTTGTCACTTTCTGACAGAAGTTTCTTAATTGGCATTATCTTTAATGAAAAAAAATTTGTTTTTCCCTTCCACTGGGCTGAAGGGAAATTTGCAGTGGCTTGAATTTGTTCCTCCAAGTAGGAATTTAATGCTCCCAAAGCGATGGCTTTAAAGATATTTTCAATCCATAGTGTGTAATTTCTGATACTCTGAAATATGAAAAGAAAAAACTTCTCAACTTAAACCAAATTAAACCCTTTGGAAGTCCACTTGCTATTAGTGCTTCTGTATAAACTACTGTGAGGCTTACTGACTGATGTCCTGCAGGTCAGGACACCTCAAGGGGCCTTACATTGGTGGCTCTCAGGCTCTGCAGCTCTGCTCAGTGAAATTGGTGGATCTCCCCAGGCTGAAACTGGCAGAAAATGTTTGCTGGTATGGCTTGCTTTTTGTTTGGCTGGCTCTCCGCAGGGCCCAGCTGAGAGTTAGGAGTCAGCTGGTGGTGTCCAGCAGTATCTGTAATTACAGTTAGAAGTCATCTGGAGCCCGAAGTCAGAGAGTGTGACACCTGGCTTCACAGCTGGCTCAGAAATACACACCTCTGGTTAATACAGTCAGCACCACACTGTTTCATGCCACTTGGTTGAAAAAATTTTAGTGATCGGTGTCTGCTGACCTGTCTCACATAAGCTAGGAGTCTAGGGAACGATTCCACAAGCTGCGAATGGCAGGGAAGGAATGGGAAGATGGACAGCTGGAGCCAGGCGGGGCAGAAGCTTTCTCAGGTGGCACAGCCTCAGCCAGAGGAACCCACAGGAACCGACCAAGAGCCGTCAGCTCCTTAGCAGTTCCCAAATTCAGTATTGCCAAAACAGTGTTTGATGTTGCACTTTGTCTGTCTTGTTTTAATTGGCCGTTGAGGTAGTCAGCAATTAGCTAATATGAATTGTTTTGGAATATGCCTTGAGGGGACACCCGTGTGGCATGAAAAATATTGAAAAGTTGTTGTGCACTTTTAAATAGTAATGACAGTTTACTGACTGTTCCTTTTGCCTCTGCTTTCTGGTGTTTGTACCTGAAATGAAGTGGTGCCTCCTTTTATTCTTCTAGCCCATGCTGCTGCATCTGGGCTGCTGCATCAGCAGGAGGTCAGACACAGCGTTTCCCACCCTAAAGACAAAGTCTTTAAAAATATATGTCTCTCTTTTGGTGACAGCTGCTCTCCAAATCTTCCGAGGCAAATTCCTCTGCCTTGTCGTGACACCTATAGGGAATGGCACAGCAGGTTAGCTGCATGCTCATTTGCTTTCACACTGCAGCAACCTCAGTCGCTCTTAGTATGCGAGTGCTGGGGTGTTTGCGTATTCCTTTCTTTCTACCTTATGTCTGAGTTCTGCTTTCACAACGGTGCCTGCTTGGACATCTGAACTTTTTCTGAGCGTGTTACCTGCTGCTTTTATTTTATTTGGTAGCTTTACTTTAAGCCCATTATTTAAGTAAAACAGAATATAACAATCAATGTTTGTTAAAAAAAAAAATCTGAGAGGGAATCATTTTCTGTAATTTTTTTTTTTTTTTTTTTTTTTGATAGTTTATTGAGCTACTGAACTTCTTCATTGGTCTTAAAGCTACTTTTGCTTTTGTCAGGAGGCCAAGCTGAGGCCAGGCAAGGGGGTGACAGGATGAGATCATACAGGGCGCTTTGTCAGAAAAGGACAGTGTTCAGTATCTCTGAAAAAGAGAGAGAGACAGAGGGAAAGAAGCCCGAGGGCAGAGCTGTGCAGAAAAGGTACTTTTGCAATCACTGAGAAGCTACAGCAAACAAATGCTCTGATAGCTTAGATGGGCAGCTAAGTGTTACGTGCTTGATACAGAGATATCAATCCCTTTTTGATAATGGCTTGTTTTCAGTCCCTTAGGCTCTGCTTGGTGTGCTTTTGATTTTACATTTGTAGAGCAGTATTATTTAATATTCTTAATTGTATATGAAGCATAAACTTTATGCTTCATATACATACACATTTATTTTTTTTTATTTTATTTAGCTTTTATCACTATAATGTAACTGTAAAGTAATAGGGCTGCTCATAGTCCATACGATACCAAAGCTATGAGTAAAATGGACCCTGAGTATGTCTAGAGCATGAGTGACCTTAAAGCTAGATGAACATTTTGCCTAAGTTTCCAATAATGCTCATATTTTCTGTGGAAGGAAGGCAGCTAAAAGGATTAGAAGTATGGAATGGAAATTACTGCACCCAGTGCTGATGGCATCCCTTCAGCTTTCAGAAACCAAATGATCGACTTGCCTACATTTGGAAAGAAATAGCATATGAAATGTCAGTCTTATACCTCATACCAAAGATTGCCAGCAAATCAAGTCAGAATAGTCTCTTACAATTGGAGAAGAAATGTGAATACTGTAGTTGCATTTAGGAAAGTGACTGACAAGAATATGTAGGCAACTTTATGAGAACGGAGTAGAACAACTGTGCTTGGGTTGCTCATGAAATTAAAGCTGAGCGGAGTTATGAGTTTATGTAAATAATAACAAAGTAAATGCTTAGAACAAGGTGAATTGTGAAGCTACAGGACAGTGCTGCCACAAAAGCATATGGGGTTAGATTAGCATATAGATAGAACAAAATATGGAAATGAGAAGCAATTATGGCAGTTGGATTTGGAAAAGGCTTGCAGAATACAGACACCGAAATGGAAGATGAAACTGCTTTCTAAAAGATAAAATTCAATAAACTTATGAAAAGGACTTTAT